AAACCTCGTTTTATTACATATTATTATTGCTGACAGTATTAGGAACAAATCATTGACTGATCTCAATTAATTCAATATTTATTCTTAAGAACTATTTACGTGGTCTTAATAAGGAGAAAAGAAAAGGCATAATTTCTGAAATCTCAATATCTAAATTTAAACATGGTAAAATGAGAAGAGTTTCACCTTTAAACTGCAGTTGATGTTCTTGAACAATATTAATATTTGATCTATCATACTACAACATTTCTTATTAATTAAATATATATATATATGTAATTAATTAATGTGAAATTTTAATTTATCCAATATTCCGATCCATTTGTCTAGGCTTGCAAATGAACGACATTCATTGGGTGCACAAATCAAGACTCAACTAGTGAACTAGAGCTCGACCACATTGAATCCAAATTAAGACCAAGCTCAAATTATATACAAGCTATTCCAATTGTAGCTAAATTTGAGCCTATCTCAACTTATTTCACGTCAAAGTTGAGAAAAATCTTATTTGATAATATTTTTGTTTTACTGAAAGTTCGAGTCATACTCGAGCCGAGCATTAAAAATCCCAGTTAATTCGTCAAGCTCGGGCAACAATGAAAAAACCTTGAGTACACACTTTTTACAAATATACATACTTTTACTAGAAAAACATAAATTGAAACAAAATAATTGATAGTATAAATATGTATATTTTTATTCGAAAGTGCACTCACCTAACATATTGAATAATCTACCTAACTATATAGCTATACCCACCAAACTGTTTGATATAACGGAATGAAATATTTGTGCATCACATTGAATGTACAGGTTCCCTCGGAATTGAAATAAATTACATAAATAAATAAGTAGATAGATAAAATAAATAACCAAATTAAAATTTTATTAATGTTCCGAATTTCGTCTGTCTAAATCTAGTGGAAATTGGAGCACATACCAGCTGCAACAATTACTGCAAATTCACGAATTATTATTTTTTTTTTAAATGAAAAAAGAAAAATGGAATTACCGTCTGCAGCTAATTTCGGATCCAATCCAGGCGGCGTCGCGGGGCACCAGCTGCCCCTGCGCCAGCACAATAGATTTGTAAATCTCGACGATCATCCGCTCGTCGTACTCCTTCAGCGGCCGCGCTCCGAATCCCGCCGCCGGGTACCCGCCGCCGATCGCCCTCGAGTTCGCGAGCTTCATCATCATGCTGACGTAGGCGTCCCGCAGCCGGATGAGGAGTTTCTTCGGCGAGAACCGGAGCCTCAGCTTCAGCCGCGGCGGCGCCAGCTTCACCCGCCAAAATCGACGCCGCCTCACCGATCCGTCCCCACCGCCGCCGGTAGCGAGCTGAACCGCGCGCGGCTTCCGTTTCAGGCCGGTGTTCAGGCGCTCGTAGCCTTTCCTCCGCCAGTATCCTCTGATTCCCCTGCGCACCGCGGTGGGAGACCCTTCCATATTTTTTTTTTCCGATTTGCTTTTCAATTTTCCGGTGGATTGAGGTCTGGGATTTTTTTTATTTTATTTTTTTTTGGGTTTATTTTTCTGGTGGTGTGATTTATTTGGGGAAAGAAATGAAACTTTCGTGTTGGGAGATAGGGAGAGAGAGGATAATCAGGTGGGAGGTTTGGAGGTGAGAGGGAGTATTAATTAATAGGGAGGGAAAGGTGCAGAAATTCTATGGCACCACATGTATCATCATATTATGGTGCCACAACATGATGTGGCACATTATGATTGGTGCTCTTTATCACACATCATGTTTGTGGCACCAATCATAATGTGCCACATCATGTTGTGTCACCATAATATGATGTCACATGTGGTGCCATAGAATTTCTGGGGAAAGGTGAGGGGTTGATTGTTTATGAAATAATTTGTTCAAAATGAGTATAGTTAATTTGAAAAAGGTGGTATGGTTAGTTGTTAGTGAAATTTTAAAAATGTATTAAAATAATATTTAAAATAAAATGATTAAAATTGATTTGATGTAAAAGTAATAGATAAATGATTGGAAATGATAGGTAGTTAAAATTATGTGAGTGGATGAATAGTGAATTAAAGTTGATGTGATGTGTAAGAATGATTGGTTTGTATTATTTAATTATATGAATAATATTAAAGATAGTGGAATTAAGTTAAAGTTGAGTTAAATTTTGAGTTGAAATAAAAGTGAGTAAATTAACTCATAAACAATCAAGTCCTGAGTATTGACTATTGAATGCTATGTTTTTTTATGAGTCACTTTTTTTTTTTATTATTATTATAATTGATAAGTTGTGAGAAAAATATCATATTTAAATATCATAGTTTGAAAGATAGTACAATTAAAAGTATTAAATTCATATCCAAGAGCGCTTAGATGAGATGACTTGGGTCTCTTCCAGCTTAACCAGTGGTCTCGTGTTCGAGCCCTGGGAATGCAGCAGTGTTAAAACTCTTGAGGGAGAGCTTTGCCACCCTTGTGGTCCTACCCAGCTCGATTCCAGATTAGTCGGTTCCCCTGTGGATCCAGAAACTGGAAGGTCCCTATACCAAAAAAAAAAAAAAAAAGTATTAAATTCATATTATCTATATACAATTTTTACATATTTTAAAGTATGAAACTCATATTATCTATATACATATTTACATATTTTAAAAGGTTATACAAATGAAACTATTACATTCATGTTAAATATGCATTTCCATTAATTAATAATAAAATATGATTATTTAATCAGTAGACATTTTAACCAATAATTGTAGAAGAAAAGTTACCCCTACCCCATTCCCCACCTATAGTTTTGTTCTTTTGTGGGAAAAAAGGTGGAGGCATTTAGGAAATGGTTGACATTTGACAAAAGGTCTCTACCTTTTTTAGTCTTTCTTGGCTTTAGCATTGAATGACTAAAAATAATGGATTCTATTTTTAAAATTGATTTTTTTTTTT